TGGTGGGCCTGCGGCCCTGGGAAAGTCTCGTGGGAAAATTGCTCCCATAGGTTCATGGGTTTAGGTTTTGGTTTCCCTGGGTTTGCCACCCAGCACAACAGCTAGATGCCTTAGACCCTAAACCTGCTGCTATCCTGCTTTGGGCATTGCATGTTGCATGGCCCTAGACTCCGAGCCTCCCTGAAGTAAACGCTGTGGTGGCATAAAGCCGAGAGCATGAAACCCGCTAAATACCTCGAAGGCTTGCCCTAAACCCAAAAACCTGGGGGGTTAGGGGGACTAAGTAAACTTATGGGCCCTGAATCCTGGGGTCCTTATAGTTATAGACCTAGGCTACACCGTGAAGAACCCGAAAACTCCGATTTTAAGGGCGCATAGCGAGACTATTCCGCTCCAGGAAACAGGTAGGGGACCAAGCTAGAGGTGAAGGCCCATGGTTAGGATCTCAAATTGCAGGAAAGAGTTTCCTAAAGTTTGGGTGCCTTTGTTGGTGGCTCCTAGAATAAGGATTGTAGCATATTGGGATCCGTGTCTCAATTTATGGAACTCCCCCCCATGTCGCGGACAGAGACACCTCGACATATTGATATCGGCGGACACTGGCCCTAAGCCCTAAACCGTAGGCTCTAAACCTTGGGTACTGCCCCCCCTCAGTAACAGTTGGATAGTAGTTATAATATGGTTATATATAGCCCTTAATAGGACCCCTAATGTAGACTGTTAGGCAGTACCCAACCCATGAGAGTGCCAAGGATCATCATTCATCACTTGCCCACGGCATCCCACGAGCCCAAAGGATATTTGGGGGGTTTCCCAAAATTAGGCGTACCTTTTTGGGGGTCCCCATNNGGGTGGGGGCAATACCCAATCTAAACCCTAAACCGTGTGGTCCCTGGTGTCTGGCCAAGACCTATGCTGTACAGCCGGGTTCTCTGTGGCCCCATCTCTTGATGTAGACCCATGATTAATAAACCCGCCTTTTAAGCACCTAAAAACTGTTGATGGATGAAATCTTGCACCACCTAGGGGCCCTAAAAACAACCGTAATTCCCAAGACTTTGGGGACTTAAGGTGGTGCAAGATTTCCTCCATCAACAGCATTAGGATCCCTATTATAATTCCTATTAATGGGAGGGGGTTTATTAATTTAATCATGGGTCTGGGCTACCTTGGAGAATGTGGAATTATTTCGGGGAGACGCCTAAACAAATACAATCAGTGATTATACAATCCTTTTGTTTTCAGTCAGCCCACTGCCTGCTGGACGCGACTAAAGTGTAGGGCTTAGGATTTAGGTTTTAGGGTTCGGGGAGACTGGGGGAATGAATCCCCATCACAATCCCAGTAAGATCCCCGTCCTGTAGCCCTAATACTCTAGCCTTATATCACTCCCCCGCCCGCCCTTAAGCACCAAGAACCCTAAACCACAAACCTTAAGCCCTACACAAAGTTCCTACCGATCGTAAACGCGCGCCGAAAGGCCAGCTGATATCAGGCCATGTCAAAATCCCTGGCAGGCGTGGCATATTCCGCATTCGGCCAACTCAAAGTGGTCACCGAGCAAAGGGAAAAATTGGAATAATAATCCCGAAAATTATGCTGCCGCTGCGGTTTCGCACGCATGGCGGCGGCTCAGCATGGGAGTTTTGACATGTTTTCAAGGAAGGGCACAGACGGCTCATTGTTATTATGGTTTGGGCATGGATGCTCTGGGTGACCGTATGCCCTTGCAACACGACAGGAACCATGGTCTGGGCATGGATGCTGTGGGTCACCGCATGCTCTTGGAACACAAGCATCATTATGATTTGGGCATGGATGCTCTGGTGACCATATGCTCCTGGAACACGAACGGAATCATGGTTTTGGCATGGATGCTCTTGGAACGCGAGTGTTATGACGGTTTGGGCATGGATGCTTTGGTGACCGTAGGCTCTCGGAACACGAACGTTATGATGTTTTGGGCATGGATGCTGTGGGTCACCGTATGCTTGTGGAACAGGAGCGTCATGATGATTTGGGCATGGATGCTGTGGGTTACCGTATGCTTGTGGAACACGAACGCTATGATGGTTTGGGCATGGATGCTATGAGTCACCGTATGCTCTTGGAACACGAACGGAATTATGGTTTGGCGGGTCACCATATGCTCTGGGACTCTTGGAACACGAACGTTATTGTGGTTTGGGCGTGGATGCTCTGGTGACCATACGCTCCTGGAACACGAACGGATGATCTGGCGACCGTACGCTCTGGGAACACGAACGTCATTATGGTCTGGGCCTCTGGTGGCCGTTTGCTCCTGGAACACGAACGTTAATATGGTTTTGGCATGGATGCTGTGGGAAAGCGTACGCAAAGGGCGTGGATGTTGGCATGGTCGCCGCATGGATGCTCAGCGAAAAATGCCATGCATGGTGGCAGCAGTGATTTTAGGCCTCGGAAGGTCCGACAGTGCTGTTCGTCCCACGCAGGCCAGTCCCGATGAGCTCATGCGAAAATGCATTTGTTGCGCGTTAACGGCCCGTAGCTGCCACACACCCTCGACAATACACTAGCTCCCATATTAGTTTCTACCCCTCACTTCCCCACTCCCCCGCAAGCACCAGGAAGATTCCTGGTACCATCCACGAGGCATAGCTTTCTCTGCTTTCTCCAGTAGAGCGATGACCTGTCCGGGTTCTCAAACTGCAGAACCCTTGTTGTTTCAACCTAAACCCTTAGCCTCAAACCTTAAACACTAAAAGCACTTTTTGCGCCTGGGCTTGCACACGACCAAACCCTCACCCCAAACCCAAAACCTGAAATGTGAGGGACTCCTGCTCAGGGATTAGCCTGTAACATGTACAGTTGCAGAAGGATGGATCGAGGACAAACATGGTTAAGGCTTTAGGGTGCGTAAGGTACCATTGAACAAGGTCCCCTTCATCAAGCTCGCGAATGCTACAAACCTGAGGATCTAAAAAATGAACCCTAAACCCTAAACCGGGTTGCCACCTCATCAGATAGCAGGACAGGGCATCAATTTGGAGGGTTCACTCTCTGAATCACTTAGACACTTACCTCAAACGGGCACCAGACAAAGATGGAAGTCTTTTCGACGCGTTTCAACTAAAGAGGTCTCAGGCCTGAACACTCTAGATCCCTAAAACCTAAATCCCTAACCCCTCAGCCCCTGAACCCAAGATCCCTAAACCCTACAACCCAGTCCCCCTTAAGTAGATAGAATGTGGGTACATGGGGATCTTATTATAATATGCCCAAAGGCATATTCTATTTACTTAGGGGTACCCTAAACCCTAAACCCTAAAACCGAAATAGTAGCTTCCGTTTTCTTTTCCATTATCCCGATATAACCCGACTATTCTACTTAAGGGGGACTACAAGCCCTACAGACTGGGGTGTGACGTGCCCAGACGAAAGCTTGAAGTCCGGTGGACAAAAGGTGCTGTGCGTTTAGGGTTTAGACACGCGCATCGCACAAGGCAAGCACGGCGTTTAGGGTTTAGGGTTCAGGGTTTAAGGTTTAGGGTTCAGGGTTTAGGGTTTCTGGATGTATTACGGCTGATATAGGGGGGTTCCCCGGAATTAGGGCTACCTTTGGGGGGCTCCCTGCAATTCTAGGTTTACATATTATTGGATCTATATTGCAATCTCCCTACTTATGGAAGCGCGAAGTACTCCCTGCGCTTGAGATATAAGTCTACTAAAGTTTGGGGATTGGACATGCCAAACAAGTGCTGATACTTGCCGTTGGTTAGCAAGGAAAAAGGGAGTACTGGGTTGCGGAGTTCCCTGGGCTCAAACAAGTCAACATATTTCTGTCGCCGTCGGATTCTAGGAACCCCAACTAAGCCCAAAGAATCTATAGCTCCCATAAGACTCCTATATAGCCCCTTCATCACCCTACTAGAGCCCCTTTGGGCCTCTATATAAACCCTAAACCCCTAAACCCTAAACCCCCAGCCCCTAAACCACGTGACTCTCCCGGCCTCCCCGTGCTTGAACTTTCGTGCCTTGTCGCTGGCGGTATCGGCCGTTTTGGGGTCTTTGCCTCCGGGCCATTGGGCTTGGGAGTTTAGGGTTTAAGGCTTTTTGGGTGGGTTTTAAGTTTTTTGTGTGGTTTAGGGTTAAAGGTTGTTGGGGATTTAGGGTTAGGATGTTCGTAAGACTACAGTCCTATCAGGATTAGAAGCGGATAGCGTACACAATTCTTGTGAAAGGATTGTAAGGGTGGAGCGTGTAGGATACTGTAGTTTTGTACTGGTTTTTCAGGAATTCAAGGGAATGCTTACATTCCAGTATAGTTCTTTCAGGATGATGAGTGAACAAGGAGTACTACACGGGCCACTCCAGGAGCTCTCTGAACTATATAAGCTAGAAAGCATTGAAGAGACCTTCGAAATTATGGTCCCTTTTGGGATCTGTGTTATGATACGGCCTATAACATTTAGGGTCATTCACAAGGGACCAGAAACTTGCTAGAAGAGTTTCTCCCACATTGCGAACAATTGAGTTTGAGGCAGTCCACGCCCTGGCAGGTGCACAACGTCGAAACCCAAACGCAGCGCCCGATGCCTTCTGGCACGACACATCGAACATGAGGATCTGCTTGGGCTTCAAGCAGGAGCCTCGGCTAACCCCCAACTAAGGTTCCCCTGTAGTCAGGCTTGCCCAGGGATAGTTCAGGCTAACTAAAGCAACACAATCTAGGCCCCACACACCTACAAAAAACAGCTGCTTACCCTGTGCAGGTTTTTTTTTTGTTGCGCAGCTTCGTTGGGCCTGTAGACATGGCTGATAGCACGGTCAAAAGCATGATTTAGGATTTCTAAGATACAACCAAACTCCAAGCCCTGAACCCCACTACTGAGTTGCTGTTAAGGAACTTAAATTAAGCTACCATAATGGGTATATACATCATAAATAATAGGGTTTCCCAATATAGTAACTTAATTTAAGTTCCTTAACAGCAACCCAGACTAGTGCTGCGTGGAAGCTTTACACATGAAGCATGGCCTGCCATGGCAGCCATATGAAGTGCGTTCACGTCCGTGTAGTGCATATTGACGTCTCCGTTGAAGATGTGGTCTTCGTCTCCCTGTGCTTCAGGGCCCGTCCATCTGCCAATTTTGAGGTCTAAGTTTCAGACCTTAAGGGTTTAGGCTTGCAGGACGCGCTGCTGCTGCTGTCTACACTGCACAAAGACTAGGTCGTTCAGACACCCGAGCCTTGCGCAGAAGAACTTCAAGTTGCTCGAGGTTTCCCTGGTACGCAGCCATGCACAACGTCTCCAAGTTCACGCCGTTGTACTTCTGATAGCGTGCGGGGTTCGGGATGGGATTCACGAAGCCCGTGGACGCCATGCTGCCGATGACACACAGGGTGCTACAGGAAAAAGAGACTGAAATGTGAAACACGCGGAGGCCTGTACCCACTTATTACGCATGCAAACGTACCTCCTGACTGTGTATAAACCAGATCTGCAACCTTTTATTGAAGCAAAAGCTTTCAAATTGGCTTTTGCAGGCTGTGCTCAGGCACAGCTAAGTAGCTGGAGCCAAAAGAACAATTGCGCGAAATCTGGCTGAAATGAGTTATAGTCTAAACTCCTAGTATGCCCCTGAATAACCCTTATAGTAGCCCCCTATAATATAATTCCCTATATAATCCCCTTTCAGGAGTTTAGATAATGGCTGAAATGGCTCAAGCATTCAAAGGGGCACCATGCCTCAACTTACTCGAGCTTGAGGTGGCGTCGGGGCCCTCAATATAAGGACTCCTGCAGGGGATCATGTGAGCTATAGTCTAAACTCCTTAAAGGGGGGTTATATAGGGTATTATATAGGGGACTACTACAGGGGGTAATAAGGGGGATACCAGGAGTTTAGACAATGGCTCATGTAGGGATCACTTTAAGGGTCCCCTCCCCCACTCTTCCTTAAGCAGCAGCTGTATGTTGAATCCCATCACGTGCAAACCTGCCTGCTCACAGCTAAAGGGAAGTTTCAAAAACTACTCTGTGTGTGTATAATCCCCCCTTAAGTAGATAGAATATGGCTTTGGGTATATTACAGTAAGATCCCGATATACCCCATATTTTGTCTACCTCAGGGGGACTATAGAGTTTAGGGTTTAGGGGGGCCCCTTCTAGGCCCTACTAGGGATCCCTTCCAAGCGGCCTCTGCTGAGGGCTATTTCTTTCGTGGCCGAACCAAGTTAGATTGCATTCTTCTTGCAACTGACGAAAGTCTAAAAGAGAATGCAGTCATACTCTATATAAATGGAAATACTATCCCCATGATTTCGAAACTCTAAACTACAGTATGCCCCTCTAAGGAACCCTACAGCCTCAATCCATACAACAAGGACCCGAAAAAAAGCAGTGGGGACTATAGAATGCCCCATCAGTAATCAACTCCAATCTAAACCTTAAGCTCAAACTCTAGACTCTACACTATACCTCAACCCTGAAATGCACAGCAGCATCCAGAAAGCGCAAACACCCTAAAATGTAAACTATAGTGTTCCTAGTACGGCTACCCTAAACCCTAAGAAATACACTATGCAGTAGAATGCGTAACCCTAAACCCTAAACCTTCAGCCCTAAACTATACAGTAGCATGCCGACACCCTAGCCCATAAACTACCTAGCAGGATCCGGGTTTGTGGTTGAATTTGAATTTGGAGTCGCGTCATAGTGGGGAGCCAAAAAGAACAATGGTTTCACAACCGACCATGTAACATACTAAGGCATGCCCCGCTTACAGCAGCAGCTACCAAAAAAAACAATAGGAGTTATTCCAGCCCCCTTCAAAGACACTTACTGGGAGGGGGAGTGACACCACATTTGGCATAGTATTCACGAGTAGTGACCGCAAGGGATACAGGAACTTCCATTACGGTCCTTATATCTTCTTGTGGTACCACTATTACTAGCTGGACGCCTAACCCAAGATATGGGAAACCCTGAACCCTAGACCCTAAACCCTAAACTCTCAACCCTAAATCCTAAACCCTTAACCATAAATCCTAAACTCCAAACCCTAGACTCTAAATCCTAAACCCCAAACCCTGCACTCTAAATCCTGAACCTAATAACCTGGACCCCCTGAACCCTAGACCCTAGACCTTAAACCCTAGACCCTAAACCCTAAACCTTAACCCCCTAAAGCCAGAACCCCAAAATCCTAAACCTTAACCCCCCAAACCCTAGACCCTAAGCCCTAAACCCTAGGAAAAACCCCTTGTGCTGAAGCCCCTGCAGGCTCTGGAGGCTTCGGCAAGGAGGCGAGGGTCTGCGAGATCCAATCTTGCACCTGCCATGTATGGGGCTTGGGGTTTAAGGATGTGGGGATTTAGGGTTTAAGGATTTAGGGTTTAGGGATTTGGGGTTTAAGGATTTAGGGTTTAGGGATTTGGGGTTTAAGGATTTAGGGTTTAGGGATTTAGGGGGGTTTTGCCGCTTGCATGGCTCGGACGGCATAGCAAGGTTCATTCCGGTTCCACCCATGGACAACTAAGGCGCAGGCCTGCCATCAAACACCCAAAGACAAAACCCACAAAGTCAAAACTATACAACGACCCACGGCATTGATTGCAGGCCCGACGGGAGGCTTCTAAACGCCCAAATACACTTGCAACCTCAACGCAACCAGTCAACTACATTCGGCTTCCTATAGGCCTGGGGGATTTAGGGGTTGGGGTTTAGGGTTTAGGGCTTACGCTTTTTGGGTTGTAGAGGTTACTATCCTTGCTATTATTGCTAAGGTTACTATTTCTTACTTATGGTTTATGGCACCTGCCATGCCATCTACAGGATTATGTCAGGATTATAGAGGGATTCTACTGAAGTGTTAAAGCATAATTGGGATCTAGGGGTTTAGTATTTAGGGTTTCGGAACTTGGGAAGGGTTATACACAGCAGGCATAGCCGGCCCTTGGCCGCACGGATGCCGGCGCCAGCAAGGAGGCAGGCTCCATGCAAGCTGGGAGTTTTCCTCCTCAGCGGTACGGGCACCAAATGTGAATCCCCAGATACTTTGGTCCTCATCATAGGTCCTGCCATCATAGCACACGGCGCCTGTCAGTCCCCGAGACGGGCAGCAAGAACCCCCCGGATGAACTCAAGAAGGCTGAGGGTTTAGGGTTTAGGGTCAGAAAGGCTCAAGGCTCCACCCAGTTATTGAAACCTCCTCCTATTTAAACAATGCAGATTCAAAGGGGGCGCAACTGGGTTGAGATAGGGGTTGGTATAGGGATGGGAGTAGGAGCCTACTTGAACAGAGCAACGTTTAGGGGCTGTTTTCAACGGTTGTGATATGCGCTGCAGCCACTATCTCCCAAAGAACTACTGGACATAGGACTCCTTATTCGGGAGTATGTTAGGCACTCTACTAAACTAAAGAAGGGACCCCTATGCCTGCCCTTGATGGTCCCCTGGCAAGACCACTATTGAAAGTAGCTCGCATTTGGGCTACGGATGGAAAAACTATAGGGTGTTGGGTTTGTGTTTTCGGCTTCTGCACTACCTCAGTCCTTAAACCCAAACCAACTGCCCTTGCATCCTGAACCTGAGCCCACACGCAACTAATCCCCTCACCTCGTTAACAAACCCCCCACGCCCTAATAAGAAATGCCCTCAGTGCGATATCAATAAAACATGGGGGAGAATCTGTACTGCAAGCGGGGGTGGAAGTGGCCATTTTTGAGCCCTACACCCACAAATAACATACAAATTCCCGTTCTCTCCAGTCCCTATATTTCCCTACACACCACCCCAAACACAAAACCTAAAACTAAACCTCTAACCCTTCCCCTCTAAGCCCTAAACCCCTCACCTCTGAACCCTAAAGCCTACAGGGCGCAGCTGTCAAGCTTAAAAAAGGCCTCAGGGGGACTGGTCCTGGAGACCTCCCAGTCAGAGCGATTGCCTCATTGGAAATCCAGGATTGGGGTAACATTGGGGTTGTCTTGGGATAATGGAAAACAAAATGGAAACTACAGGGCTTATAGGGGTTATATGGGGATTATAGGGTATATACTGGGGGTATATTGGGATAATAGAAAATAGGATGGAAACTGCTATTTATGGTTTAGGGTTTAGAGTTTCGAGATGTGACTTCATGGAGACTTAATTTCAGGCATTCGAATCGATTCGGGTCTACGTTAGGGCTCCCTGGCTATGAAAACCCCTGATTAGGGTTTAGGGTTTAGGATTTAGGGTTTACGGTTTAGGGTCTATAGAAATCCCTAAACCTTTAAACCCACAGTAGTGCTACAGCTCTGTGATCAGCTCCGCAAGTAAATCCATGGCACACCTTTCTGACGCCGGAGTGCTAGAGAACCGGAAACATGCTGGCCACCCAGAACTTAAATCCTACACCTTAATGATATAGCAGTTTCCATGTTCTTTTCCGTTCTCCTGTATTTCCCCTACAAACCCCTTCATACTGTCCCCCAAAAACCAACACCCCTTTCCGCTGAGGCGCTGGGAGTGCGAGAGTAACCCTCCGTCACTCCCAGCATCCGCTTGAGGTCGTTGATTCGTGCCACCATGGGCTCTAGCTCCGGATCCTGACACTGTAAATGGTTTAGGGTTTAGGGTTTAGGGTTTGGGGTTTGGGGTTTAGGGTTTAGGGTTTAGGGCAAGTTAGCGCATCCCTTTAAAGGAGGTATAGGGGATACGGACCTCCACTGGAGGGATTCACAGGGCTTGGGGCTTCCATAGAAAAAGGATCGTAGCATTTTGCGGTCTATGTTGGGGTATGCAAATTGCATCAGATCTTCCAACAACAAAACGCAGATATCCTGAAACGCCTTTACCAAAATTGGTTCGCGGGGGACTCTAAACATTGATTTTCTTTGCTGGTCGGAATTAGATCATATTGGGAAGAGGGGTAACAAAAAATAAAAGATATACGTACCTATCTATATCTATTTGCAGCTACCCCTGTTTAGCAGAATATGCGAACAAACCATGATGTGAGCTATAGTCTAAACTCCTAGTATTCCTCTCGAGACACCTATAATACTCCCCTATATAATGCCTTATATAAAAGCCTTTAAGGAGTTTAGATTATGGCGAATGTGGACAGTCAGCATGGCTACACACGGTCGTAGGTCCACTCAAGCCTTTGTCCGTGTACTACAGGTGGAAAAATGCACGTGGAAAGGCAATGACATCTGCCACGAGTGCATTTGTGAAAGCTTAGTGGAATAAACAATGAAGAACTAAATGAAGAAGAAAACACATGAATGAAATGGAAGCTCAGTTCATATG